ACCAGTAGCCAACATCCAACTAAATGGAGAGACACTTGAAGCAATCCCACTAAAATCAGGGACTAGACAAGGCTGCCCACTTTCTCCCTATCTATTCAATATAGTACTGGAAGTCCTAGCCAGAGCAATTAGACAACAAAAGGAGGTCAAAGGGATACAAATTGGAAAAGAAGAAGTCAAAATTTCATTATTTGCAGATAATATGATAGTATACTTAAGTGACCCCAAAACTTTCACCAGAGAACTCCTAAACCTGATAAACAACTTTAGCAAAGTGGCTGGATATAAAATTAACTCAAACAAATCAGAGTAGCCTTCCTCTACTCAAAAGATAAACAGGCTTAGAAAGAAATTATGGAAACAACACCCTTCACAATAGCCACAAATAATATAAAATACCTTGATGTGAATCTAATCAAGCAAGTAAAAGACCTGTGTGACAAGAACTTCAAGTTCCTAAAGAAAGAAATCGAAGCAGATCTCAGAAGACAGAAAGATCTCCCATGCTTATGGATTGGAAGGATTAATATAGTAAAAATGGCTATCTTGCTAAGAGCAATCTACAGATTTAATGCAATCGCCATCATAATCCCCACTCAATTCTTCACAGAGATAGAGAGAGCAATCCTCAAATTCATTTGGAATAAAAAAAAAACAGGATATTGAGAACTCTTCTCAGCAATAAAAGAACTTCTTGGGGGGAAATCACCATCCCTGACTTCAAGCTGTACTACAGAGCAATAGTGAGAAAAACTGCATGGTATTGGAACAGAGACAGGCAGGAGGATCAATGGAATAGAATAGAAGACCCAGAAATGAACCCCCATACCTATAGTTACTTGATCTTTGACAAAGGAGCTAAAACCATCCAGTGGAAAAAAGACAGCATTTTCAACAAATGATGCTGGTTCAACTGGAGGTCAGCATGTAGAAGAATGCAAATTGATCCATACTAATCTCCTTGTACAAAGCTCAAGTCCAAGTGGATCAAGGACCTCCACATAAAAGCAGCTACACTGAAACTAATAGAAGAGAAAATTGGGGAAAGCCTCCAACACATGGGCACAGGGGGAAAGTTCCTGAACAAAAAATCAATGGCTTATGCTCTAAGATCAAGAATTGACAAATGGGACCTCATAAAACTGCAAAGCTTCTGTAAAGCGAAGGACACCATCAATAGGACAAAGCGTCAACCAACAGACTGGGAAAAGATCTTTAGCAATTTTACATCTGATAGAGGGCTAATATCCAAGGTATACAAAGAACTGAAGAAATTAGACTCTAGACAATCAAATAAGCCTATTAAAAATGGGGTACAGAGCTAAACAAAGAATTCTCAACTGAGGAAACTTGAATGTTTGAGAAGCACCTAAAGAAGTGTTCAGCATCCTTAGTCATCAGGGAAATGTAAATCAAAACAACCCTGAGATTCCACCTCACACCAGTCAAAATGGCTAAGATCAAAAACACCGGTGACAGCAGATGTTGTCGAGGATGTGGAGAAAAAGGAACTCTCCTCCATTTCTGGTGGGATTTCAAACTGGTACAACCATTCTGGAAATCAATCTGGAGTTTCCTCAGAAAATTGGAAATAGATCTACCTGAAGACCCAGCGACACCAACTCTTGGGCATATACCCCAAAGATGCCCCACGATGTCACAGAGGTACATGTTCCACTATGTTCATAGTGGACTTGTTTGTGATAGCCAGAAGCTGGAAACAACCCATATGTCCCATGACAGAAGAATAGATACAGAAAATGTGGTTCATTTACACAATGGAATACTACTCAGCTATTGCGAACAAGGGCATCCTGAGTTTTGAAGGCAAATGGATGGAACTAGAAAATATCATCCTAGGTGAGGTAACTCAGACTCAAAAAGACATGCATGGTATCTACTCAGTAATAAATGGATATTAACCAAAAACAAAAAAACAAAAAACTACAGAATACCTAAGATACATTCCATAGAACTAAAAAAGGTCAACAAGCTGAAGGGCCAAAGTGAAGAAACCTCACTCCCACTTGGGAGGGAGAAGAGAGCAATCACCAGTGGGGAGGCAGGGGGAACCTGGAAGGGAAAGTGAATGGGTGGATGGGGGGACAGGGGAGAACCTGATCTGGTGTTGGGTGAGGGAAAAGGTCTGAAGCCCTAAGGATCAGCAGAAAGAATGGAACCAGGCAACCTTGGGAGGGAAGAGGGGACTCTCCAGAATGCACCAGAGACCTGGGAGATGAGAAGTTCTCAGGACTCAAAGGGAGGAACCTTAGATGAAATGCCAAACAGTAGGGAGAGGGAACTTGTAGAGCCCACCTCCAGCCAAAAGATAGGGCATCAAGTGAGGGAGGAGTTTGCCATCCCATAGTCAAAACTCTGACCCATAATTGTTCCTGTCTGAAAGAACTACAGGGATGGAAATAGAGAGGATTCTGAGGAAAAGAAGGTCCAGTGACAGGCCGAAAGTGAGATCCAGCTCAAAGGGAGATCCCAAGGCCTGATACCATTACTGAGGCTATGGAGCACTCACAAAAAGAGACCTATCATGACTGACCTCTGGAAGACCCAACAAGCAGAAGAAAGAGTCAGATACAGATATTTGCACCCAACCAATGGACAGAAGCTGCTGACCCGTGTAGTTGAGTTAGGGGAAAGGCTGGAAGAAGCTGAGGAGGAGGGCAACCTTGTAGGAGGACCAGCTGTCTCAATTAACATGACCCCCCGCCCGAGATCTTTCAAACATTAGACTACCATCCAGACAGCATACACTAGCTGATATGAGACCCCCAATACATATACAGCAGAGGACTTCTAAGTCTGGGTTCAGTCAGGGAAGACACACCTAACCCTCAAGAGGCTGGAGACCCCAGAGAGTTTAGAGGTTTTATTGGGTGGGGGGTAGGGGGTGGCAACATCTTCATGGAGACAAGGGATTGGGGAGGAGGTATGGGATGTGGAACAGCTAGAGGGTGGAAGGGGGCAAGGTAGGAATAAAATCTTCAGTGTAATAAATAAATAAACAAAGAGAGAGAGAAAGAGAGAGAGAGAGAGAGAAAGAGAGAGAGAGAGAGAGAGAGAGAGAGAGAGAGAAAATTATTAGTATGAAGCATTAAAAAATTATATTTCACAAAGACACCCTAAAAAAAGTTTTAGAGATAGGAGGACTGGAGAAAACATACCTTAACATAATTTATTGAATATGACTGAATATGACAAATCCACGGCTAACATCCTAACTGGAGAAAATCTTAAAGCAATCATATTAAAATCAGGAAGGAGACAGGGCTACCCACAATCCTCATTCTTTGTCAATATAGGTATTAGTACTCTAATACTAACTAGAGCAATAAGATAAAAAAATTGAAAAGGTATAAAAATAGGAAAAGAATTCAAATTATTTTATTTGCAAATGATAGGATATTATACATAAAGATCACAAAATTTGTACCAAAAGGCATTTAGAAATGATCAACAGTTTCAGCAAAGTAGTGTGATACAAGCTCAACTTAGAAAACTCAGCAGCCTTCCTATATAACAATGAATTTGCTGAGAAAGAGATCATTGACACAATCCCACTCACAACTGTCTCTATGAAAATAAGAGATCTAGGAATAAACCTAACCAACACGTCTATGATGAAAACTTTAAATCCCTGAAGAAAAAGACTGAGGAAGATATGACAGTAGATAGCCCTTTCATGGGGGACATGGATGGACAGAGTTAATATTGTGAAAAAAATGCTTTATCAAAATCCAATTACAGATTCAACAAAATTCCAAACAAAATCTCTACAGCATTCTTTGCAGAAACAGAAAATAAACATTCTAAATTCATTATGAAAAGAGAGAAGACCTTGGAAAGTCATAGCAATCCTGAGCAAGAAGAAACATACTATTAACTTATCTACCTGCTGGCTCTTTGTGAGATAAACAAAATTGACAGACCCTTAACCCAATTAACAAAAAGAAAGATATGTCCCAATTAACAGAATCAGAAATTAATATTGAAATATTACAATACATGCCAAAGAAATCGAGAATATTTTAAGAGAATTATTTTTTTAAAGAAAACTTGTACTCTATTAAGTTGGAAAATCTAAAAGAACTGTACAAATTTTTAGATTCATCCAAACCAGCAAAGTTGAACCAAGAAGAAATTAACACCCTAAACAGACTCAAAACAAATGAGATTGAAACAATAATAGAAAGTCTCCAACTTAAAGATAAGACGAATATCTCAATAAATGCAAATGCCTTTGAGAAAATCCAACGTATTTTCAGAATAAAAGTCCTAGAGAGAGTAGAACTACAGGGAACATAACTCAAATTAATAATTAATGAGATTATTTTTTTAAATTAATAATTAATAAAATTAATTTTAAATTAAAAATTAATATATGAGAAACATCATCCTAAATGGAGAAAAACTTGAATCACTCCCATTAAAACCAAGAAGGTGGAGAAGCTGTCTATTGTCCTCTCTTTTTCAATAGAGTGCTCCAAGCACTATCTGGAGCAGAACACAGCAGAGGAAATTTAAGAGTCAAAAATAAAAATGAAAAAGTAAAATTATCCTTATTTTCAGATGACATGATAGTAGGCATAACTGACTCTAAATACTCTATCAGAAAACTTCTAGAAAGAACCAATAATTTCAGCAAAATTACATTTTACAAAAAGGCCATCAATAAACAGTATGAAAAAGGAGTGATGGACACACACCCATTCACAATAGCCTCAAAGAAAATAACTATCTAGGAACAAAGCTAAGCAAGGAGGTGAAAGACCTCCACCATGAAAACTTGAAATCTCTGAGTGAAGAGATTTGGAGACATTAGAAAATGGAAAAACCTCCCATGCTCCTGAAAGGCAGAAATAACACTGTGAAAATGACCATCCTACCAAAAGCAATTAACAGATTCAGTGCAGTCCTAATCAAAATCTCCAAAACATTATTTTAAAATATTTCCTAATGACAGGGGTCCCGAAAGTATTCTTTACCTTCTGATAATGCCAAAGAGTGGTAGTGTCCACAGGAAACTTGGATTATTTTTATGTCATCCAGAGCTTTTATTTTCCTATAATAAAAAAGTCACAAAAATTTGTTGAACCTTCTTTAGGATGAGTTATCAAAGAAATTACAGACATTTAAAAGTATTTTGGATAAGACAACAGATCTCAGGGGACAATTTTATTCTGTGCTTCTGGAATACCACTGTCCCAAAGTGTCAAGTTGTTTTTTTCTTTCCTGCTTTTTATGATTTTTGCTAGTGAGGGTTTCACTCCCAGCTTCCAAGAACTGAGACTACCTCTGTCCTTCTGTGAAGACAGTAGCATTGGGTTTCCCCACTTATTCTGCACCTCCCATATCTTTGCAAAGGACCAGAAAATCTTCTTTCCCACACTGACCCGGCTAATGCCACTCCCATGGCTGTAATTTCACTGGCTGTAGTTTTTGGGGACAGCAGGAATGTCATTCATCTAACCATTGCATCACTAAATGACAAGGCATCTGACTACCTGACAAGGACCACAAGTCCCTGCTATGCACTCCTTAATCTAATATCTTTACTTCCACACACAGCACACAGCTAAAATTACCTAGCATCTGTTGTCTTTTTTGGTGTGGGTTGGTTTTTTTTGTTCGTTTGTGGGACTTAGAGATTTTAAGAGGAGATCGGTAAAGAAGGGGTCTCATATAGGTCTGGTTGGCCTCTGACTATGCAACTGAGGATGACCTTGAACTTCTGATTCTCTTGTCTGTGTCTCAACAAAGGTCTGTGTATTTTAGAGCTTCAGTGGAAGAGTATGGCATGTTCCGTTAACTTTTTTCATCATAATGTTAATGGATAGTCTCCCACATAAGAGCTTGAGTATTTGGGAAATACATAATAAGTTCATATGAGAGGCTCTGCTTTAGTCAGATACAAGATAACCAAGTAAGATTTCTTTCTGAATCCTTGGTATCTTGATGGTTTGTACTAAAATATTTATTTATTTATTTATTTATTTATTTATTTATTTATTTATTTATTTGCTGTCCAAGTCCAAATGGGTTCCCATACTTACATTACAATAAGTAATATCAGGAATCGCATATTATTTCATCCTTACTCTCTCCTTCATGGCCCTCTATTTAATCGAATGATTCTACACATGATTTCCTGACCACTCTTCTCACCACATTTTAACCCTTGACACTAGTAATCTTTGTGCCCTGCATTTGAGTAGCTAGCACTTAAAAAATATTGGAAAACAGTGAATTGAAATACTTACGTAGGCATAAAACTTATTTCCTTAAATTCTCCAATCCCCAGCTGCCCTTCAGATCCAGCTCCCCATGTGAAGACCTTCCCTTTGTGACAGACAGCTACAGAGTGCTCCTTCCCACAGCTCACCAGGTCAACCGGCAGAGTATTCAGTGCCTGAATCAGTTCTTTGGAAACAGAAACAACAGCAACAACAACAACAACAACAACAACAACAACGGAAAAAAACTCCCATAAGAGTATAAACCTCTAGAGTTAAAGAAAGTAGCAATTAGCTTTGTTAAAAAAAAAAAGGAGGACAAGGAGATACACAAATTCTTTGTCTCCCTCAATGGTGGCTAAATCAAGTCTAAAGTCCTTACTAAACACCATGAAGAAACAAACTCAATATGTTTATACAAGTGTGGAAAGACAGCTGTGTTATATGGACTACCTGGACACAACTTGGCTGGCAAGGTTTGAGCACCCTGAGTTTCTATATGAGCAAACTGATGTTCACTGTCTAGGGAAACGAAACTGAACAGTGACCATTCGTGTCTGGCAAGGGCTCTATCATTACTTCCTAAATGGCTCTCCACAATTTATTATCCAGCCTCTTTTCTTTTGTGAAATACAGTACACAAGTTCCTGAATCTAAACACTTCTTTTCATTTACTTTCTTTGAATTCCTATATACACACAAATTACTCTCTAGGTAAAAGACTAATAAAAATCTCATGTTGGTTTTTGCTTATTCATTTTTTTAAAGTTAAATTTGCAGCTTCCTGAAACTGAATCAAAAGGAACAGAGGAATAGTTTTCATTTTCTACGCACATAAACAAATATAGTCAATGGGAATTTAAAATAGTCCAGTGGTAGAATGCTTGCTTAGCATATAAAGTGACAAAAAAAAAACAAAAAAAAAATACAAACAAACGGAAAAACAAACTAGAACCGCCATACTTACAAGTGAATCAATATCATATATAAAATTCCCTAGTAGATTAATGTTTTGGTAAAAACACAACTTAGATACAACTATAATAATTAATAATGAAAAGATTTCTATAAGGATTAAATACATAAGCAGAAAATAAAGCAAGGAGGAGCCGCAACGTTCTTAGAGCTGCTTTTGGTGTGATGCTAGCTTCTTTAGAAAAATATTTTATTATTTTTATTTGTGTGTGTGTGTGTGTGAATCACTGTGTGCATATGTGTGTGCTGGTCCCCATAGAGGCATCGGATCCTCTGGACCTGGAATTATAAGTGGTTGTAAACTGCAGCATAAGTGCTAGGAACTAAACTCTTAACCACTGAGCCATCTCTCCAGACCCTACAGGTGGCTCCTTTAGTACATTCCTACATCAGCCTTAATGCCCAAAAATGCTATTATACTTTTTTTTAAACTTAGGAGAAAAGATGCCCCAAGGTATTGTTAAGCTAGTTAGAGGCTTGGAAGCTACTCGGTTTGGAAGACAGACCTCCCCAGAAAGTTCTCTAGGACTTAGCTTGGTAAAGAGGAACTTTTTTCTATCCAGAGGAACTACGCGGTTCTGTTTTGCTTTCAGTTTCTCAGTGAAGAGGAATTGGAAACTGAAACAAACACAAACTCTAGAGCCCTGGGAATGGAAACAGCTGACCAGTTGATGCAAGCTGCTTAAAACAGGGCTCAGGCTTCTAGAAATCCCTTTTCCAGCCACCCGGTATCCCTGGTCTCCTTCCCTCGCCCCCTGGTCCAGTGACCTGAGGCTCCCACATCCTCCTGAGCACCTACTCAGGAGCTTGATAGTCACCTGGCCCTTGGGTACTCTGCTCTCTCTTCTGGCCCAGCTGGCCCCAGCTGTTGTCCCCGCAGGAATACACCCTGTGGTTGCTGAACAATAGCAGTGAGTGGCGTTCCCCGCTGGCCGCTTGCAAGAGTTTAAATCCGGTTCCCGCCTCCAGGCGCCTAGGATGCTGGCTTCCTGCAGCCCAGCTGAAGTACATCCTTGCGGTGCCCAGCCACTCGTGGCTCTGCTATGTCAGATGGGTTCCCAAATGCAAGTGACCTAGCTTCCCTAACTCCTCCCAAGGGCGCTGCCCAGTCCCCTACGTCATAGTTCTTTCTATCTTTCTTGTCCCATGCCACTAACAGCTTTCCCACGGGGTTTCTTCCTTCTCAGGTCATCTTAAAACTGGCTGCTTGAATTTTAAGTACTGAGTATCTGAGAAGACAGGGAAGAAGAAAGTATCTCCATCATAAGTAAGCCACTTGTGACTCCTGCTGCTCTGGGCAAATGGCTAGGTCTGTGAAATATTTATTAAGTGACAATATTCGCAAGTTGTAGCAATTTCAGTGGAAGCCAATTCCCAGGGAATCTGCTTTCCTTGGCAATTCTAACTGGGGTTCTTTTTATTCCAGTCTTGATTATTAATTTTCAGATCACACATTAAGCATCACAGAGTAAATCTATATGTATAATAAATAGATTATGGAGTGTGTACAGGTGGTTGAAGAACTTTTTTGTAACCCGCAGGATGGCCATTTTTACTATGTCAATTCTACTGATCCACGAACATGAGAGAACTCTCCATTGTCTGATAACTCCTTCACTTTCTTTCTTCAAAGACTTGAAGTTCTGTCATACAAGTCTTGCACTTCTTTGGTTAGACTTACCCCAAGATACCTTATATTATTTGAGGCTATTGTGAAGGGTAATGTTTCCTTGTTTTCTTTCTCAATCTGTTTGTCATTTGTACATAGGGGGGTTACTGGTGTTTTTGTGAGTTAATTTTGTATCTGGCTACTTTGTTGAAATTGTTTATCAGCTGTAAGAATTCTCTGGTAGAATTTTTAGAGTCACTTATGTATACTACCATATCATCTACAAATAGCAATACTTTTACTTCTTTCCAATTTGTATACCTTTGATCTCTTTAGTTGTCTTATTGTTCTAACTAAGACTTCAAATACTATGTTGAATTGTTATGAAGAAAATGGACAACCTTGTCTTGTTCCTGATTTTAATGGAATTGTTTTGAGTTTTTCTCCACTTAATGTGATGTTCACTATAGGGTAGCTGTAAACTGCCTTTATTATATTGAGATGTGTTCCTTGTATCCCTAATCTCTCCAACACTTTTATCATGAAAGGATGTTGGATTTTGTCAAAGGCATTTTCTGCATCTAATGAGATGATCATGTAACTTTCCTCTTTGTTTATATGATGGATTACATTTATTGATTTTTCATGTACTGAACAACCACTACATCTCTGGGATGAAGTCTACTTAATCATGGAGATCATCCTCTTTACATCTTCATATATTCAGTTCGAAGGTATTTTATTGAGTACTTTTTGTATCTATGTGCTTAAGGGATAACTGTGGACTCACAAAATGAGTTAGACAATGTTTCTTCTGTTTCTAGTTTGTGGAATAAATTGAAGAGTATTGGTGTTAACTCTTCTTTGAAAGCCTGGTAGACTTCTGTGTTAAGTCCATATGACCCTGGGTGGGTTTTGTTGTTGTTGTTTTGGGCTTTTTGTTGTTGTTATTTTGGACTTTTTGTTGATGTTGTTTTGTGGTTGTTGGGTTTTTTTTGTTGTTGTTTTGGAGGCTTTTTTTGGTTTGGTTTGGTTTGGTTTTTGTTTTGGTTTGGTTTTTTTCTTTTTTGGTTGGAAGACTATTAATGAATGCTTCTATTTCACTAGGGGCTATAAGTCTTTTTCTGATTTTGATTTAATTTTGGTAGGTAGTGTCAATTGAGAAAATTATCCACTTCTTTTAGATTTTTCAATTTTGTGGAGTACAGGTTTTTGAAGTAAGGCCTAATGATTTTTTGGCTTTCCTTGGTATCCCTGATATGTTCCCCTTTTCACTTCTGATCTTGTAAATTTGGATATTCCCTTTGTCTTTTAGTTAATTTGAATAAGGGTTTGTCTATCCTGTTGACACTCTCAAAAAACTAACCCTTTGTTTCTTTGATTATTGTTCTCTTTGTTTCCATTTTATTAACTTCAGCTCTCAGTTAGATTATGATTTTTTTTATTGCCATCTCCTCCTCTCATTGTGATTTATACATTTTTTCTAGAGCTTTCAAGTGTGGTATTAAATTGCTAGTATGGGATCTCTCTCCTTTTTTTTTCTTTTTTAATGTAGGCACTTAGTGCTATGAACTTGCCTCTTAAAACCACTTTTTTTTGTGTGTCTCATAAGCTTGGATATGATGTATGTTTGTTTCTTTCTTTATTTCTGTTTTGACCTAGTAGTCATTCAGTAAAGAGTTGTTCAGTTACTATGAGTTTATAAGTTTTTGTCATTTCTACTGTTGATACTCAGCTTTACTCCAAATTCAATAACTGTGCATCTGTTGTCTTTCTTTGGTGTGGGTTGGGTTTGTGGATTGGGTTTGTAGGTTGTGTGTGTGTGTGTGTGTGTGTGTGTGTGTGTGTGTGTGAGAGAGAGAGAGAGAGAGAGAGAGAGAGAGAGAGAGAGAGAGAGAGACCTAAGATTCTTAAGGGGAAGAGGGTGAGAAAGGGTCTCACATAGGTCTGTCTGGTGTCTGACTCCCTATGCAACTGAGGATGATCTTCAACTTCTGATAGAATGCAGAGAGTTATTCAGTTTTCTTGTATCTGCTGAGACTTGCTTTGTGTCTATGTGATCAGTTTTGAAGAAAGTTCCATGAGGTGCAGAAAAGAAGGTATACTCTTTTGCATTTCAATGAAATGTTCTATAAATAACTGCTAGGTCCATTGTTTTATACCTTCTGCTAGCTCAAAATTTTCTCTGTTTAGTTTTTGTCTAGATGACCTGTCTATTGATGACTGTGGGGTATAGTTATCGTTTTCACTTTGTGAGGATTAATATGTGGTTTAAGCTGTAGTAGTGCTTCTTTTACAAATGTGAATGTCTTTGTGTTTGGGGCATAGATGTTAAGAATTACAATGTCCTCTTGGTGGATTTTTCCTTTGGTGAGCATTAATCGTCCTTCCCTATCCCTTCTGATTAGTTTTGGATGGAACATCTACTTTGTTAGATATTAAAATGGTTACACCAGCTTGTTTCTCAGGTACACTTGCTTGGTATATCTTTTTCTAATCCTTTAGCCTGAGTTAATGTCTATTATTGCTATACAGTTGTAGTAAACCACTTTAGGTTGGAGTTTTCCTTCTAGGACTTTCAATATGGCTATGTTTGTAGCTAGGTATCATTTAAATTTGGTATTATCATGAAATTACTTATTTTCTTCAATCATGGTTATTTAAAGTTTTCCTATGTATGGAACTCTAGGCTGGCATCTGTGGTCTCTTAGAGTCTGCAGAACATCTGCCCAGGCCCATCTTGATTTTAGAGACTCCATTGAGAAGTTGGATGCAATTTTAATAGATCTGCCTTTATATGTTACCTATCATTTTTATCTTAAAGCCTTTAATATTCTTTCTTCGTTCTGTGTGTTTAGTGTTTTGATTATTAAGTGGTAAGAGGACTTTCTTTTCTGGCTTAATATATTTGATGTTTGATATGCTTTTTCTACCTTCATATGCATCTCCTCTTTTAGATTAGGAGATTTTCCTATAGTAGTTTTGTTGAAAACATTTTTCTAGTCCTTTGATTTGAGTTTCTTCTCCTTCCTGTATACCTATTATTATTAGGTGTGGTCTTTTCATAGCATCCCAGATTTTCTGGATGTTTTATAGCAGAAGTTTTTAGGTTTAATATTTTTGCTGACCAATAAATCCATTTCTTCCACCCTTGAGATTCTTTCTTATCTGTCTTATCTTTTGTTAGTGAAACCTGCCTCTGTAGTTCTTGTTTAAATTCCTAATTCTCACCCTTGCTGTGGTCCTGGCCTCCTTCCCACCTGACTCACAGCTTGCTTCTGGAGATTGCTCTGTCTCACTCACCTACTAGAGCCTAAACTAACCCTGGATTCTTATTAGACTCATTGACTCTTAACCTGCCTCTTAACCATTTTTCTTCCATATACTCAGAGATTCCATTAAAGTCTCACTGACTTACTGCAAACAGCTTGGCCTCAGTATAAACTAGATCATAAGTCTCAATTACTCAAAGACAGCATACTCAATTTCCAAATTCCCATGGATAATAACAACTTCTGCCTCTGTACAAGTAAATAATCCCCAAATCGCCTTATCTTTTGGCTTTATTTACTCTCCATGCTTGAAAATCTCTAAGTTTTCTTTATTCTCTCTTGAGAATAAAAATCTTTTGAAAAAAAATCTTTTAAGACCATTTTTTAAACTTTCTGTGTGTTGGAATTTAAAAGTATATAGGTTATGGTTCAAAGATCTATAAAATCTATCTTTTAAAAAGTTAGTTTAAAGTGGGCTATGACAGGTAGCTGGATACCTGGTGAGTAGGCTTTGAACCCTGGAGACCCTCAGGGATAGTAGAGTTTGGCCTTGCCCTAGGCCACTGCCTCCTTTCACATAGCTGCAGCCCCCCACAGAGAGGTCTGTGCCCAAGGTCTCCTAGGACAATGCTCCTACTAGCCCCTCCACAGGTAGAGAGTGTGACTACAGGCCACAGAGCCTCAAGACAGATCTCCATATTAAGGAGGTACGTAAAGGTCAGAGGGTATAGCCAATTAGGCATTTCTTCCCAGACCCTCCTCCTTACAAAAGGTATTTAACCTCAGGCCTACCCTGAGAGTACTGGAGTATAGCTTCATTCATTTTTCCACCATGACTATAAATATTTTAAGACCATAGCTTTTTTCTCTTCTTTGGGGCCCATGTGGGGAACCATGGAGAAGATCTTCAACTACAGAGCCTCCGTTAGCTCAGGGACCCCCAACTCAAAAGCTCTGATCCCCTAGGAACCTCAGACTGTGTTTCCCCGAGCAGAGTTCTGCCGCTTCACACAGTCTGATATCCGCCCAGTGCCAGCATGGAGTGAACACAGTCAAATTCCCATGCCTCTACATCTCTGAGCCGTGGCCGTAGCCTCTTAGGGGCAGCAGACTGGGGACCCACAATTGAACCCAACAGGACCCATGCCCATGCACACTGCAACCC